TCAGCCAGAACGAAGGGAAAAGGCTATATTAGACAAGGAGGACGGGAATAATGAAATACCTAAAGGAGACGAGGGATAGATATTCCGGGAAAACAGTAAAAAAAATTACTGTTGGTATTACTTTTTAACTAACACTTGGTAATGTGCCCCTATCCAAATGTGGATATATTCATCCGATAAAAAAATATTTCTCCCATAAATGATTATACCCTGAACCAAATGGGGCCTTAGTTACAGCAAGGACAACCAACTATAGGATCATCTAGCTGAATAGTCCCGTGTAAGCAAATAAAACAAGGGTACCGGGCATGTAGAAAATCATTTCAATATTGAATGAGGTTGCTCTTTTCTGAAATTTCTCTTCCTTCTCTAAATCTTCTTTTCTCATTCTTTACTTCTATTTTCTTCGATCATCGTTCTTCGATTCTCTTAAGTTCATAACAACTTAAAAAATAACCCAGGTTGAGTTTTCACCGAAGCTTTGACGACTTCCTCTACGGAAACGACGACGCTATTCGACAAGGGGACGGTTGAGTTTTTCTCAGCGTGAGACGACGCTCTCATTGGTGGAAGTGATGACGGTCACGACTGACCAGAGAAGGGTTCTATGGTGAGGGGAAACAAACAATTTCTTATTGTTTTGTGATGATCAACGGTCGATTTGGGTGATTGATGATCGAGGTTGGGGTCGTGAGGCACCAATGAAACTGTTGGTAGTGGCAGTGTACGCCACCAGCTGGTGGTGGTGGCGGCATCGGAGAAGGGGGAAGGGAGAAGGGAGGGGAAATTTGTTTTCAAAAAAAGATTTTTTTTAAAAATAATATATATATTTTTTAATAAAATAAATATTTTTAAATAAATATTTAAAAGTATTAGAACGACATGTGTTACTTAACGGAGATTTTAACGGCAGTTAACGTTTGAACATCTAAAAATATAACGTTGGAAAACATTATATATCTAATTCTTACGAAAAAATTTTAAATACTAAAATGTTTTTAAAGACAAAATTGAATCATTTATTTTTGTATTAATCCGTCAAAAAAATAGTTGCTCACGAGTAGAAGAGTAAGCGTTGAGTAGATTTTAAATTAACACCCAAACAACACCGATTCAGAAATGATAGTGTTTTTTACCATCCTTAAAATATAAAGATTAAACTTTTCCACATTGAAAAATATTACTTATAGTTTTCTTCTTAACAACCTTATCATAAATTATTTTTATTTTTATTTTAATATCGTATAATGAAAATGATTCTTATACATTAATAGTTAAATCATTCATCATTAATGAAAAATTCAATATCATATTCTATTTTTATAAATTATACAATGCCATTAAAAGAATAAGTTTTACTTTATAATTGATCTATAATCTAATATCTATAAATATATGAGTTATATATCTAACGTATCAATCACCAACTTACTACCTTAAAACAATCTGTTCTTAGTAATTACACATGTCACATGTCACATTTCACATTCGATCAAAATGCATGTAACATATTAGACACACAGTACAAGCAGCATTTTGATTGAAATTATTGATTGTAAATGTGTTAAATCTTATTAATAATTAAATAAACAAAATAATAATTAACAATATAATCAACAACGGGTATTTGATCAAATAAAAAAAAAGAAACCACATTCGTAAAATATAATGAAATAAATAAACCGAAGCCAAAGTTGTTCATTAAACATCTGTAATATGGAAGCAATAATTGGAATAAAACTATATGAGTTGCAAAACATCCGATCCGCAAAGCTAAGCAAAGATTATCAAATTCTCTACAATAAGCAGTAGTGTTAAATAATTCCCAGAAACACAAACAAAAACATTATTATCAGTCTAAAAATTAGAGATTAAACCAAATGCAATGTCTGTCACAGATCTTGAAAGTGTTCCTTTGCCATGTTTTTCAAGGTACAATGACAAATAGAGGCTGCAAAATTCAGAAATATAAAGGAGATTTCAGACAAATATAATGAAAAGAATACGAGAGACTTGATAGAGAAAACAGGGTTTTACCATGTCCACACTAACTGGCTTCCCATCCTCTGCCAGTATCTCGGTTATGGTTCCGGATTGGTCCGCCTGATTCAAAACCGAATGTTACGAATCAAAAACGAATAGCAAGACATTCGAGAAGAAAGGGCAATGAAGAACCATTCATTTTTTATATATGAAGAATATTCTCTCATTGTCTGAGCGCTAAATTAAGTAGGAAAGGGTATGAACATACTTCGATTTCGTTCATCAGTTTCATTGCCTCGATGATGCAGATAACTTGGCCCTTCTGTACTTTATCACCCACCTAAAAAAAGAGGAACAACCCCCATTTGAATGAGTATCTGATTATCATTTGAGGAAAAATTCCGATTAAGTTGCAAGCAAGCTGCGAGCACTTACCTTGACGAATGGTGGTTCACCTGGTGCTGGACTCTTGTAGAAGGTTCCAGCCATGGGGCATTTGAGGGGAGGATGGGATGAATTGCCAGTTTTAGCAGGGGGAGCAGAGGGCGGTGGTAGTGCAGGAGGGGCAGGGTTTGAAGGAGCTGGAACAGCTGCTGGGGCTGCTGCCGGGGGTGGAGTTTGAAACATCGCATGAGGCATGTATTGTGGCATGAAAACAGGGGACGCTGGTTCCAGTGGCTGTAAAGCTTCCTTCTTTCTTATTACAAGCTCACAATCCGATGCTTCAGTTGCAACTCCGTAATATCTCTCGAATCAACAAGTCTATCCATGAAACATAACACCAACATCGCTTACTGATCCTTTGTGTAACGAAGACTTTTATGTAATTGTACTCTAAAGATAAAGAAGCTTCTTCAACTTACTTAACAAGGTCCGATACTTGTGTCATGAATGCTGAGATTGCAGCAACATTCGGTATCGCCTTCTTGGCAGATTTGTCATCTTCCTTTGGCAATGTAGTTTTATGCTTCTTGTCAACTACCGGTACAGAATTCGATGATTTCTCTACAGCAATCTAAAAGTTTACAAAATTCATTTAGTAGAACATCAATACAATCTCATTTAATCAAGGCAAAATTATAACTTTGACATGAAAACACACCTCGTTAAGCTTTGCCTGCGTTCTGAAGGCCATAGTCTTCTTCCCATTATCCCACTGCAAATCACAGCCAGATCAAGAAACAATATAAACAAATTTAAACATTTATGAAGATGAACAATTTTGTCCCTGCACATCACAAAACTGTCTCAGAGCAATGAATACGAAACCGACATCCCACTCATGCATACATGATTTTCCTATTCGGGATATCAAATCTATTCAGGGTTTCAAATTGTGGTCCGAAAACGTGTTAGCGCCCACGAAATAGCGGTAGCGCCGCCGTCCGAATTACCCGCTACACCCGCAATAGCACCCGTTACGGCCACAATAGCGGTAAACACGAAATGACCGAAATCGCGACTGCCATTTGAAACCCTGAATCTATTGACAAGTATGTGTTATAGAAACCTTCAATATTCAACCATGTTGATGGAACGCGGGTATGAATGCTAAACACATACGGGATTTAAATTATGGTTGCAATCGCATTTTCGGCTGCGTTTACTGCAACTGTAGCAATAACATGTGCTATTGCAGTCATTGCGGCTATCACAGTTGTGCAATAATGGTTTCAAACGGAACCTTTACCGCTATTCAAATCCCTGGACACAGGTATGTTGCTAACTCAACAATGCTTTCATATGGCTAAAAACAATAATTTCCAAAATTAAACTACAAATTAAACACTTGAAACCCAAAATGATAAGCAATCCATTCATTCTTATTAAAATTAAATAAAAAGAAGGATCTCCAGCTACAATCATTAACCATATAATTAAAAACCCACATCCTAAAACCCATAATTTTCCAAACGGAACAAAAGATTCAGCTTTAAATGACCAAATTAAAAGAAAAAGAGAAAAGAAAGTAACCTGGAATCCAGAAAATGCAGGCACTTGGATTGAAGATCCAACTGAGAGGCAAGATTTGGAGGTAAACTTTGAACAACATTGAGGAAGAGTAGAAGAGATGTTTGGAAATTGGGTTTGTTGCAGCTTTGGTTTCACAAAAGGAGAGATCTTGGGGCATGGAACTGAGATTGAAAATGTCATTTCTAATGAGTTTTAAAGCAAACCCAGAGCTGCTTTTAGCTTTATATATAAAAACAAACAACGAGAAAGGAAGAAAGAAAGGAGGAAGGCAAATGTCGGCGATGAGATTTAAGAGAAATCTTTGGGAAAACCCAAAATGGGTTTAAAACTGAAGAATTAAGAGAGAGAAATTTTCAATTATTTAATATTATATTTTTGAAATTCGATAGTTACGATGAACAGAGTTCCATGGTCTTAACTAACCTCAACTACTCAACACCTCCCCTGTTTTCCTTTCTTTTCTAAATAATTTCCGATTTCCATGAATATAAATTCAGTTTTTTTATTTTAATTTAATCATTCTTAATTCTTTTATTCTTTTATCAGTGTAGAAATTAAATTGATACATTCAGACCCAACATGTATTTTCATCTTATTGTGAACCGCACCAAATAAATATTGGTTACAATCTCGTACATGGTAATGCTCTTCTCCAATCTGCAAACACTAACTAATAGAAGTGTCCAATCGATATGTTATGTAAATAATCGAACCAAATTATCAGGAATTGAATTAATCAAACCCTAAACATTTTTACTCATTCTCTGTTCGAATACTTGGCAGCTTATTTGCATCATCCGAAACACGGTGATATTAACGAGAGACTTGGAGGTAGTTGAACAACTAATCTGAATGAAAATGATGTCCAACCATGACCCAATATTTTCAGCCGACGTAAACGGCATTTAGAGCATCCACAAATGCAACAAGCATCGTACACGAGTATGTGTATGTATCCAACACTGATGTATTCAGTTTTTTCGATCAAAATAAAGTCAGAATACCATGGTTTCGATCAAAGAATTTCTTGTGGTTCTTGCCTGGAAACACGAAGACAGGCATGCTTATTAAAGAACCAAGAAGACACCAAAATGAATAGGAACGTTACCCTTGGTTGTTTCCCAGAAACTCAGCTTGTACAAAAGTGCCAAAATGTATTTTGCGGTGTGATCCATTGATAAAGAAAAACCAAAATAATCTAAAAACGGTTCCAGTAAGTCCGGCGTCTAAACCAGTTGTAGTCGGGCAAACCCTGGATGGGGCCCATGGCAGCAATCGCGATGTCCTGTGAAAACCAAACATAAACGGCATTAAAAACATTACATTGTTCAGTTTCAATGTCTCATCTCACCAAAATTTATAGTCTTGACCCTATTTCATTCAAAGCAGAAAGTGTAGGTAAGGGCTAGGTTTGGTAGCAGTTCCCACCCTATCATAAATAAATCGGGTTGCCACACGTTTAATGGTGGTTGGGTCAACAGCATCAATCCTAGCAAATAATTCATTAAACGGGATTATATGTATTCTGCGATTGTAATTATATTAAAATTTTAAATTACTTTTACTTCAATTAAAATTAAACATTTTAAAATTATATATAGTTCAATTATATATTAACTTTGAGATAAATTTATTATTTTATTTAGAGTTTAAACTCCTTCTTCGATTGTAATTAGAATTTTTTTTTTCATTTTTTAAAGTATAAATTTAATTATTTTAAGCAATTAATTTTTATGAAAATATTATTTAAAAACTACTTTGCCTCTATTCTTCTTTTGAACTAGAGAAAGTCGTGAATATAGATTTAAATTAAAAGTAATAAAGGATTATTAATTGGATTTGCATATGATTATTCGAGATCGGAAGGGTCGTTATGGTGGTGTCATTAATTGGATTTGCAAATGTTATCGGGTGGTGCCGGGAAGATGCTCGTTGTTTCTGTTTTGAGTTGTATGTTGATTACCCTTATGGTAGTGTCTAAGCTTTTGTTATTTTGGCATATCCAATTCCATGGCCGTGTGTTGATTGTTGTAAACCATTTGCTGCGGTTTGCTTTGGCCATGGGATTCTTTTGTTGGATTTGTTGTAGCAAAATGGTTTATAGCGGCGTTTTTTGAAAAAACATCGGTAACTTTATTGTTACCACGGCGTTTTTAGAATAAACGCCACAAATAACAATTTTTGCGGCGTTTTTTTATTAAAACGCCGCTAAAGATTCGTAATTTAGTAGCGTTTTTATAAAAACGCCGCTATAAACTAATACTTTAGTGGCGTTTTTATGCGAACGCTGCTATAGACTCGTAATTTAGTGTCGTGCAAGTTTAAAGTTTCTAAGTCCGGATTCCCTTTAACCGTTTTTTATTTTTTCCCCTTCACCTATTTTTTCACTCCCGCCGTTTAACCAAACCCATATGATGCTTCAATTCGAAGCTTGGCACCTGAAACAATGACATCGTCAGCGAAGAAATTTGCAAGCTCTACTTTCCTTTGGTTAACATTTCTGGTCACTCTCATGGCGTTTCTCCTTAAGTTTAAATCTTCATAGGACTTCGCTTCCCTTCCATCCCAGTTTTCCATTTTTTTTCTTTTTTGTTTTGTTTGGAAACTTGAAATATTCTCTTTTTTTAATGCAAAAATTATTTACTGCTGAAGAATTGACACTATATAATGGAACTGATGTATCATTATGATGCAGGGGGATCCGAGACAGATGATGCTGAGCTGTCAGATTGCACATTGATGGCGCTGAGATACCATGAGTTGGCAGATCAGCGCAAAGGCGGGAATTGATTGTGACATGTTCCTCATTGGTGTCGTTTTGAGTATGTTTCAGTCTTTTGGCCATAACTTTGGCTACAGGTGTCAGAATCGCGCATAAGACCCCAATCCGAAAAGCTCTTTTCGACGCGCACGCTCTCTACATTGAGCTACGCTCCATGTGACCTTTTTTTCAACCTCAAATTCTGCCATGTGACCTTACATGACTTTTCTTGGTTTTGTTGTGACTTTTTACCGCCGATTCATTAGAAATTTCAGTACTCTGATCGCCCCTATCACAGAGTGCCTCAAGGGGCGTGATTTCCAGTGGTCTGAGGAGGCAGGGCCAGTTTTCAACTGGTCAAGCAGAAGATGACCGAGGCTCCAGTTTTGGCACTTCCAGATTTTGACAAAGTGTTCGAGGTAAATTGTGATGCATCTGGCATTGGCATTGGTGGTGTTCTGAGTCAGGCAGGTCGTCCGGTTGCTTTTTTCAATGAGAAGCTATCGGGATCAAAGAAAAATTATTCCACTTATGATCTGGAGTTCTATGCCATAGTTCAGTCCCTGAAGCATTGGCATCACTACCTAGTACAGAAGGAGTTTATTCTGTTTACCGATCATGAGGCCTTGAAGTACATCAATGGCCAACACAAGCTGAGTAGACGTCATGCCAAGTGGGTAGCATACTTGCAAGAATTCACTTTTACGCTGAGGCACCAAGCAGGGAGTTTGAACCACGTCGCAGATGCCCTGAGCCGTCGTACCTTACTTCTCACCACCATGAGTACTAAAGTTGCAGGATTTGAGACATTCACAGATATGTATGCAACTGATCCTTCCTTTGGAAGGATATTTCAGGAGGTAACTGAGGGTCACCGTCATGATTTTGTTTGGCATAATGGGTATCTGTTTCGTGGATTACAGTTGTACATTCCAGATTGTTCATTGAGGCAGCAAATTATAAGTGAACTCCATAATGAGGGACACTTTGGCTGAGATAAGACATTGGCCCTTATCTCTTCTGAATTTTATTGGCCCAAGTTGACTAGTGATGTGGCCCATTATGTGGACCGTTGTTATGTGTGCCAGCGGTCTAAGGGAGTTCTCACCAATGCGGGATTGTACACTCCCTTACATGTTCCTGAAGCTCCTTGGTTCGATGTCAGCATGGATTTTGTACTAGGCTTACCCCACACCCAAAGGGCCTCTGATTCTATCTTTGTTGTGGTTGACAGGTTTTCCAAGATGGCTCATTTTGTAGCTTGCAGAAAGACTATGGATGCTGACCGGATTGCCCATCTCTATTTCAAGGAGATTGTGCGTTTACATGGTGTTCCTCGATCCATCACTTCAGATCGTGATACTATGTTCATCAGTCATTTCTGGAAGAGCCTGTGGGGGAAACTGGGAACGCAGTTGAATTTCAATAGCGCCTACCACCCCCGGACGGATGGCCAGACCGAGGTGGTGAACCGAAGTTTGGGAAACCTTTTGAGGTGTTTGGCAGGAACGAAGCCGAAGCAGTGGGATTTGGCATTGCCTCAGGCAGAATTTGCCTACAACAGATCAAAAAATAGAACCACATGTTTAAGCCCATTTGAGATTTTCTATGGTCAGAACCCATCCGGGGTGTTGGACTTAGCCCCTATTCCACGTATAGGACGTTTCAGTCCTAAAGCAGATGAGATGGAAAAGTATCTTCGGGGTATCCATGAGCAGGTGAAACAGACCATTCATGAGAGCAATACCAAGTACAAGACTCGGGTCGACAATCATCGTCGTCAGGTACTTTTTGATGTTGGTGATTTTGTTTGGGTTGTATTAACTCGTGATCGTTTTCCTGTTAGTGAGTATAATAAGCTTAAGGATCGAAAGATTGGACCTTGTGAGGTCGTGCAGAAGATCAATGATAATGCTTACAGGTTGTGACTTCCCAGTCACTTGAAGACTTCTGATGTCTTTAATGTGAAGCACCTGAGTCATTGTTTTGTGGATCCTGATGACACTACTCTGAACTCGAGGACGAGTTCTTTCCAACCCGGGGTGACTGATGCAGGGGGATCTGAGACAGATGATGCTGAGCTGTCAGATTGCACGTTGATGGCGCTGAGATACCATGAGTTGGCAGATCAGCGCAAAGGCGGGAATTGATTGTGACATGTTCCTCATTGGTGTCGTTTTGAGTATGGTTCAGTCTTTTGGCCATAACTTTGGCTACAGGTGTCAGAATCGCGCATAAGACCCCAATCCGGAAAGCTCTTTTCGACGCGCACGCTCTCTATATTGAGCTATGCTCCATGTGACCTTTTTTTCAACCTCAAATTCTTCCGTTTTCCCCTCCGGATCACTAGATTTAGTTATTTTTTACTATTTATGGTAATATTTCGATTGTTAATTAGGAAGTCAATTTAAATCCGATTTAGGCCGGATTTTTGGGAGATTGCTTATTTTATTTCGAATTTCAATTTAGAGTGATTTTCGGGATTTTGCTATTTTTGGCAAAATTCGAATAAAGACGATTTTTGGCTATAACAGTCCGGCTTGTGGACTGTTTTTTGGCATTGTTTGATTTTATAATATTTTATTAAACCTTAAAGACTTTTTTCTCTGGTTTTTGGGCGAATTTTCTCTTGTGAATCGTCTGTCGGAGCTAGCCTACAGGATAATCACTATTCTGTCTGGCGTCACATTACCCATACTCTTAGGAATTCTGGGGTACTTTCTTTTGCCTTATTCCTCATATGATATTGTATACAAATATTCTAAAATGTACTTTCTTTTGCCTTATTCTTCATATGATAGTGTATACAAATGTTCTAAAATGTACTTTCTTTTGCCTTATTCTTCATATGATTATTGTATACAAATGTTCCAAAATGTTAATCCAGATTGAATTCTCTGTGATTAGATCCGTATTTGATGTTACAAAGGGAAAGTCTCACTATGGTGTTGGAGTGCTTACCATCATTTTGCCGGAAGGTTGGTTTGTTTTCTTTTATTGGAAATTGGGATATTCAAGTAGTTTATGTTAATTATCTGTATTTGTTTCTTTTAAGATGCATTTTTGCACAGTTATCTTCTGATTCTTTGCTATTACTTTTGCAAATTTAAGTGGGTTTTTCATTGCTGGTCTCTAGAAAAATTGGGAAATTAATTAGGTACCTATATTGACAAAATAAACAAATTGTGTACGAAGTAATTTTCTTTTATAAATGTTACAGATCTAATAGATGCTATAGAAGATTTGTTTTTTTAGCTGTATAAATATATTTTCTCTCTTGTTTCTCCATTTTCCAAACAGGAGATGGACTTACAGATTCTCTGTGAGATTTATCCAGCACTTTGAATGTGCTTAATAGGAAAGAAAATGAGAGGATTGTCATTTTTCATCCTCATGTAAAAATGAATTATTCGGAATGATGAGAAGACATAACACGTGAGAGAGATACTAGTTAGTTTACACACATCATACCAATAGTATAATTTTATTTTGTGTTTCATTTATCACGACACACTTAATTTTGAGTCAAGACAAAAATTAGATTTTTCGTAATTTATTTGATAATTATTTGATATATTGGTTGTGAGTTTTAGTTTGTTGTGATATGTTCTTAATTGTGAAATTAAATGTAATGCTTATGTTTAGTTGCTTACTTTCTCTATAATATTTATAAAGATTTATTGTCTCTGTCGAATGAGAGGCTTTATGAAATAATA